ACACACACACACACACACACACACACACACAAACATACACACATGCATACACCATGGGTCGTCACATTATGCGCTTTTTCACTTCCATTCATGCAAAAACTCATAATGAAACGAGCTAAGTGTCTTGAGTTCTTACCTACTTAAAAAGTGCGATGAAAGAGGCTGATGCAGGTATACAGTTGGCTCTGGAAGCATCACTACCTTCATCTTTCATATATGTATTCACTGACGCACGAGCAAAAGATTATCATCTCGAGGATCAGATTTTGAACCTGATTCAGGAAAAACAAAGTTCTGTGAGTTTTTCATAGCCAAACTTTGAAGTGCATAACATTTGTAATTTTCTGCATACTTTTTCTCAGTTCGGCACAACAAAGGAATACCAAGAACACCATATCGGGCCGGTTAATCAATGTGAGCATCTTTTGTCAGTGACAGAGATATTATGATGCATATTATGCATATAGAGAAAAATAAAATTATATAAAAAAACGAAAGAGCAAGGGTGTCTCGGTCAATTAAGTGGTAGACAATCCTGTTCTGCTTCACAACTGAACCTCATCAGTACGGCGGTTGTGATGTCGATAAAATAAATAAGTAATAAAATGAATTAAAATGAATTAAATATGTATAAGATGAATTAAATATATATAAGAGCTTTCTTACACAACCTGGGTGGTATGCCACCAGCCTGACAAAATATACAAGCAACTTGATTAGCTGCGCACTTTCTGATGTTTTTTTTTTTTTCGAAGTTTTTATTATAGGCATACAATGCCAACTAGATCAGTAACAGAATTCACTCATAATTGTTTATTTGTTACGCATCCGCAAAATCAAGCTGAATGGAGCTTTAGCGAACATACGCAACTGACTTTTTAAAAACATATCAAGCAGAAAGTGCGCTGTACAGGATATCAGTACTGAAATTTGTTAAGCCAAGTTTCTCATGATTGGCTCGGATTGTTCTGGATTCATGTGTTTTTCCCTGTCCGGTACATTTAACTAAATTTGACTAGGTGGTTTTTGTGATGACGGGAGATTGCAATGATCGGAGTCATCCTGGTTTCCGTTGCTACGAGAAAATTGCTGCTGTGAGCTTTGGACAAGTCTTTCATCTGGAAAAAACGGATGTAAACAAAGTGCTGAACTATGTGCGTCATTCAATCGCCATGAAAATGGTTCATTTTTTTTTATTGAAGTCCGCTATTTTAAATTTACTAGTGCACTGGAAAAATGCTAGTACATTGGAAAAATGCCAAGAACATTGCAATGTTTTGAAAATGTGCTAAAGATTTTGAAATCGGGATTGGTGGACGAAAATTTAATTACGAGTATTGAAATTATTAAAAATTAACAAGGATTTCATAAAAATCGAGCAACATTATGACACAGGCAAAGTTTTGGCACTTCCTGACAGGAGCTTTTAAAAAAAAATGAAAACTTGCAGTAGTTTTTTGGAAGAAAAAATTTTTGTGAAAAATAGCAGTTGGAATCTCTTTTATTAACTACCAGCTTAGCATTGAAATTGAAAATTGAAAATGCTGTTTACTGCAAATAAAAGTTTTATAAATCGAATTTTAAAAATGCTGTTTTTCCAAACATTGCGAGTAAAAATTTTGAAAGTGCATTTTTTAAAAAGAAACTGAACTTTTTTTTCCACATTTCTTTGCAAAAGAAAAGAAACTGTATTTTTCCTTCATGAATTCTGGTCACTCTAGCAATATAGCAAATAAAAAAATTATTTAGGTTCACATTTTGTACGAAGTCCGCGATAAAGGTGGTTCAACACTTCGACAAATTCCAGTTGACAAATCGCTTAATGAGTTGACGTTGTCGTTGTCTGGTGATAAGGATGACGGTGATTACTTGGATATCAGCTTAATCAATCCGAAAGGTAATTTTTAATTCTAAAGTTCTGGATTAGTCAGACAGATGAAGTTTTGCCTTGAAATCTTATGCTTTTCAGAATTGTGGTAGGACTTTCAACCTCCTAGGATTATCATTTGCATTTCCATAAGTTCTCCAGAAGCTAAATTCAGATTCTACACTTAATTCACAGGCCAGCAGGTTTATTCGGATTTAACGATAGTTTTTGCAAAGGAAATGACTGTAGTTACGCTAGGTCCTTTAATTCTGAGCTGTATATTTTCGGGGGATTCCTGCCGATTGTTTTGTATATGATTACCACCCTTTTGATGATCGCCTGAACGGCCAGCTAATTTCTTGGTAGATTTTACTTGCTGGTAGACGATGCTCACTGGTTATCAGCGAAGTAGGTGATATCCCAGCCCGTTGGACTGTACCTCCTCGCATGATCATAATTATATTCTGCAAGTCACTTATTTGGCAGCTAGCTTGATTGCTCACATGGTTAAGGGAGAACATAGCAAGTATCCTTGGCTTCACTGTTTTCCCTCCGTCAAAGCAAGCGATCATTATTTTGGTGATGTTTGATTTAAATGCGTTAAAAACAGTTCAGCATAATTCCAGTGCAGGGCGTTTGTTAGTTTTATTTGACTTTCACCCCATTCTTCTTAGGAATGACGTCTTTCCTTTGCTGCAAGGAAACCAAATCTTAGCCTGTCGCTGAAGTATTTGCCTAGAAAAGAAAACTGGTGCCAGTCTTGCTTTTGAGGCTAATTAACGAAGGACAAACATTCCATTTTTCCGTAAATATCTGAAGTCCCACTTAAGTTCCAAGCAAATTTGGCTGTGGAGAAAGCACGATCACATTTTTAAACTTGCGCAAAGCAATTGTGATGCAGGTGCCCGTGTTGATCGAAATCAGTTCGGCGATGACACTGGATCGATCGATCTGCACAATATAAAATTAATTCGTATACGGGATCCGATGCCCGGTATTTGGCATGTACGAACATCCAGCCGTCTAAAACATACACTTCGTGTGCTTGGCCATGGAGCCATTGATTTCAAATATGGATTTGCTACAAAACCAGTTGAGAAAGTTGAAATGGTAAGCGTGCACTTCACTTACGATAATGTTGTTTTGAAGATTCGCACAATCTCATACTCCCAAAAATTCCAACATTTGTGTCGAAATGCTTCCCGTCTTCAATGTGAATAATTATTCTAAAACTGTTAGGGCTATCGCTGTGAATATCTCATGTTTGTGATTTTACTGGGATGCTCTCACACGCCGGGCATTTGGCTAACTCTATTGCTTCCTGTGATGTGATGTATACACAATAATTGCTTATGCACCTTAGATAAAAATATGTGACGCACATACAACGAACAGGCGGTTGGTACTAACTAGAGGTGTGTAACTCAGGAAAAACCTGGTACAGTTGTGTTCACTCTGTAGTAATACTGCTAAGGCAGTATATCTACCTAGATAGCCTGGACAGTCTTTGGGTTTTAGTATTCTTGGTAAACGCTGCCATGTGCAGTTTTCAGCTTGTAGTTATTTCATCAATTTTAATTTAAAAAACACAAAAATAGATTTAATCCAGCTTTATTCTTCCAATGCTTCCATTTCCGTAACCAATTACTTAAAAGTAGAACTGGAACCCTATCTATACGCGTCCACGCCTACCAGCGGAAAAAATCTGAAAGCTACCTGGACAATGCCAAAACCACCTGGATGATCGATCTGAGTATCCCATGTCAGTGATTTCGCTGGGATGCTCGCGCGCGCCAGGCTTAACTATGCCAAAAAATTTTACGTGCATTCTATTTACAGTCAATAACTATTACAGTCACATCCACGTCCGATTGCGCATCAAAACACATACCTGGTGGTGAACATGACAGGAATGAGTCCTCCAGGCTTCGTCATCGAAATATCGCTTGTGGATTATTTTGGCAAAGAGTTATTTGCGAAGCCAGCAACCAGGCACCTCCAGAATCCGTACTTGTTCTACATTGGTCCGTTTATTCCACCGCAAGGACATTACTTTGTTCGAGTTAAAGGTGAAGACGATGGGGTCTACGAGTTCCAGCGCATCGCTCCCACGGCCCTGTCGCCTGTAGATGCTGGAGGACCGAGGTACTTTTTTTTTTTTTTTTTTCATTAGCAACATCGGACAGATCCAGTCCATGGGATCTTATTAAACGATAACTGTTGATTTTGTAACTGATGACAAGGTTGGATGGAAATGAAAGAATGAAATGAACCTCGTCATTAACAAAAAGCATTGACAAAACAGTTTTCAGAGCATACATGGCTGACCGAATCACTGCTGTGGCGGCACAACCAGTCAATCTGACGTGTTCGGTGGCATCAAAAGGCGAATTCACACTTTACTGGTACAGGGGTCGCGAAAAGCTCGGCGGACCACTTTTTTATCCGTAAGTTCACCTTGTTGTTGAGCTTTTAAATTCTCGATAAATTACAACAGAAATTTGCTTCATTTTCCTTCTTATAAGGTTGGTATTTTGAAGCGATAAGTTAGCGCAATATCTTGGAACTGGAAAAAGGGCTCGAGAAAAAATGCAAAGAGCAAGTAATCCCCAAAAACACCATTGTCGTTTATAATGTACCTAGTCAACGCGATTTTCCTCTTGCTGAGCAAAACAGAAATTGCACTTCATATCTTTTCCAGTATTCAGTATCTCGCAACTTTTTATGCGTTTTTTGCAGCAATGCAATGCGAAAAACGCATATTGACGAGAGGTTGTCT